TGCACAGTCACCAGATCTAAATATTATTGAGCCACTTTGGGGTGTTTTGGAGGAGCGAGTCAGGAAACATTTTCCTCCACAAGCATCACGTCGTGACCTGGCCACTATCCTGCAAGAAGAAAGTCTTAAAATCCCTCTGACCACTGTGCAGGACTTGTATATATCATTCCCAAGACAAATTAACGCTGTATTGGCCACAAAAGGACGCCCTACACCATACTAATGAAGTATTGTGGTCCAAAACCACGTGTTTCAGTTTCATTGTCCAACCCCTGTATGTATATGCCTTTGTTTTGCTTATGGAGCCTGTAACAAAAATAATTTCCCTCTGGGATTATTAAAGTATTTCTGATTCTGATTCTGAACTCTCCTGTTTCCACCAAAACTGTCCGTCGGGAGCTCCACAGGGTCAATATACATGACCGGGCTGCTATAGCCAAACCTTTGGTCACTCGTGCCAATGCCAAACGTCGGTTTTGAATGGTGCAAGGAGCGCAAATCTTGGGATGTGGACAATGTGAAACATGCATTGTTCTCTGATGAGTCCGCCTTTACTGTTTTCCCCACATCCGGGAGAGTTACGGTGTGGAGGAGCCCCAAAGAAGCGTACCATCCAGACTGTTGCATGCCCAGAGTGAAGCATGGGGGTGGATCAGTGATGGTTTGGGCTGCCATACCATGGCATTCCTTTGGCCCCATACTTGTGCTAGATGGGCGCGTCACTGCCAAGGACTACCGAACCATTCTGGAGGACCATGTGCATCCAATGGTTCAAACATTGTATCCTGAAGGAGGTGACGTGTATCAGGATGACAATGCACCAATACACACAGCAAGACTGGTGAAAGATTGGTTTGATGAACATGAAAGTGAAGTTGAACATCTCTCATGGCCTGCGCAGTCACCAGATCTAAACATTATTGAGCCACTTTGGGGTGTTTTGGAGGAGCGAGTCAGGAAACATTTTCCTCCACCAGCATCACGTCGTGACTTGGCCACTATCCTGCAAGAAGAATGGCTTAAAATCCCTCTGACCACTGTGCAGGACTTGTATATGTCATTCCCAAGACGAATTGACACTGTATTGGCCGCAAAAGGAGGCCCTACACCATACTATTAAATTATTGTGGTCTAAAACCAGGTGTTTCAGTTTCATTGTCCAATCCCTGTATTTGTCCCGGCTGGCCTGGCAATACCTCAGTCCTACCTTCTGTGACTAGCAGCACTATCATTAAAGGCGGGGTGTACCGAAGGCACTGAGAGTGTGTTTTGCATTCATCTCTCCGCAGTGACAGATTTATGAGTTGATTAATTTAAACTTACCCAACTTGTTTAGGGTTGCCTATCCTCTGTGACTGGCAGCGCTTCATATGGCTCATTCCAAACCAGTCAAGCACGGTTAGCTCTTCAAGGGCATCCAAGGTTAAATGCAAAAGATGTTGAGGATATTAGCTAGCTCTCTCACGCTTCTTTGTCACTCTTGACAATGTGTACAACCTTGCAATCCCCCATATTCGCTATTACAAATAGCAGCGGTGGGCCGTTAGGGCCTGCAAGGCCTTCTCTGCTGGAGAAAATATCTGACTCACAGACTGATGTTAATTATATTTTGTCCATGAATACTTATTAAATATTTCCAAATGGTCTGTCAGCTTCTTTTCATAGCTTTTCTCCTGGTTGTGCTGCTACCAGACAGGTATTTTCATATTAAAGCATTTAACCAATCACATTTTGCTGGACCAGCTCTATACCGTCAGTGGGGTCCTAGAGGGTGCATGGGAGTTCGCTCAACCAGTACACATGTGTTTTGTGGACTTGGAGAAGGCGTTCGACCGTGTCCCTCGGGGTATCCTGTGCGGGGTGCTCCGGGAGTATGGGGTACCTGGCCCTTTACTACGGGCTGTTCGGTCCCTGTATGACCGGGGTCAGAGTTTGGTTCGCATTGCCGGTAGTAAGTCGGATCCGTTTCCGGTGGGAGATGGACTCCGCCAAGGTTGCCCTATGTCTCCGGTTTTCCTCCGCAGGGTGGCTGGGCTCTCCCTTAGAGATAGGGTGAGAAGCTCGGCCATCTGGGAGGGGCTCAGAGTAGAGCCGCTGCTCCTCCACGTGGAGAGGAGCCAGTTGAGGTGGCTCGGGCATCTGTTCAGGATGCCTCCTGGTCGCCTCCCTGGTGAGGTGTTCCGGGCTCGTCCCACCGGGAGAAGGCCCAGAGGAAGACCCAGGACACGCTGGAGGGACTATGTGTCCCGGCTGGCCTGGCAACGCCTTGGGATCCCCCCGGAGAAGCTGGCGGAAGTGGCCGGGGAGTGGGAAGTCTGGGTTTCCCTGCTTCGGCTTCTGCCCCCGCGACCCGACCCCGGATAAGCTGCGGATAATGGATGGATGGATGGATAGATAGCTTGTTTTTGTTTAATAATAAAAAAAAACTTTTGTTTGCCATGGAATAACCTGTTTTGGCAGTCCTCTGGGACTGACAGCACAATCATTAAAGGCAGGGTGTACCACAGACGCTGAGAAAGTGTTTTGAATTCATCTCTCTGCAGTGACAGATACATGGGTTGATTCATTTAACCTGACGCACCTTGTTTAGGGATTTTTTCATCCCAGTTTACTGTAGGTTATTTGTGAGGCTTGGCATATTATTTAAAAAGTCCCCCCCCCCCTTTTTAATCCAAGCACAATTTGGAATACTCACGGTCCCAGGGGTCCCGCTCCTGTGACGTCCTCTGCAGATGCTTTAAGAGTGACTGGAAGTGCGGGCCAAACAGCCCGTCAGCACATCCTTCCTTACCAAATAGGACAGGTGCAACCAAATGTTGTGGTGGATGAGGTGCTGCCATGCCACTACAGTAGCAGCACATGGGGTGAGCATCGTGCTGGCAGCATTGGCGACGTCCTCGGCATGGTCCGACAAGTTGGGCTCAGCAGAGGCCTGGTAGGTGCTTCAGCTCCGCCGCCTCGCGAATGATGTCTGGCAGTTCCCGGAAGAGCGTGCGAATGGCCGGGAGGGGAGTTGTCGCCAACTTCAGGACCCCGGCAGTGGTGGTCCAGGCGAAGATCCTCCAGACTGGAAACTGGGCTGGGGGATCCTGGAAACTTTCCCCTGGGCGGAGCCATCCGACTTCCACCCAGCGCCGAGGAGGTCAAGGCCCGCCTCCAGTGAGTATTCCTCTGCCGAGAACACCTCCTCCGTCGCCGTGAAGATTTCCACACTCCTCTGCTTTTGCGGAGCGGGAGCAACTTGCCTATAGAATGCTATATCAGTATCAGCATGATCATTTAAAGAACGTGCACAAACATTTATGCAGATTTACAAGTTCCTTTCAAATGATCATCACTGATTACAGTCTTTCTTTAACTAGAAAGAAACATGTCATTAATGCATCTGTGCTGAAAAAACTGCAGGTAAAAAAACTCAGCGTCTATGGGTGCAGTTTCTGCATGGAAATGTATTTTCAGAACAATTCTAGTTTGGGAATGTGGGTATTTATTTGTACCTCTGTTTAATTTTATCCTGACTAAATGGATCTAAACCATACATATCAACTGATGTAACAGTATCTTAAAGTGTGATATACCCTGCTATAACATTCATCAAATCATCTGCATAATAATGCGATTAATGGCGATTAAAAATTTTAATTGCCCAGCACTATATTCTTTTTCTCTTTTCTTTTTTATTTCAAGCAAAAAATTCACGAACTTTTCCAATCCCTTGTTTCTATTCCATTCAAGAATTCCTACCAAAGATACCCGTTTGATGTTTGCAGAAAACACAATTGAGAAGGCCGTTCATGTGACCATGTGCTGTATTAATGATGCACGAGTACTTGGCCTTTGTTGTATTCATCTGAGCTTTCTGCTCCAACCCCCTAGTTCCTATATTGTGTTCAGGTGAGTTCATACAGTCAAATATAATTAAAATATACAGCGCATTATAAGGTGTATTACCTGATAAATTGGTGGGAAATTGTTTGAAATGAGCTGTGTCCCTTGTCTGACTCAAAAACCGCCACAGTAATTGGTTTTGTCTTCAAAAGGCTCTTCCCCCTGCCTCATCTTTATGTATCACTTGCAGCTGGCGTCCGATTCTTCCTGCCACTCTCTTGTATTCTCAGGTGAGGGAGTAAGTTATTAGTTCTGGTAAATATGCCACAGTTCAACCCAAAGAAAGGAGGTTTGGTAAATGATGGATGAAAAAGGAAATTACAGGCAAATAAACAAATCTTGATGAAGTGGAATTTAAAAAAATGTTGAGATGGCCGAATGCAGGGGAATTTTTATTTCATTTATTGACATCTTTCAAGGTCTGTTTTGTTCCTCTTTCCAGTTCCTGCTGAAAGGTATGGAAGTCTGTGAGGACTGTGTGTGATTCCACTTGGTGATTTATAGTCTATCTAATGGCGGAGTAAGATGGTACACATGCCTATTGATCATGAGTGCTGCAAAATAAATTCTGTTCATGTGTGGATGCTCCTACTACCACCATCATTAAGGGCCCCAATTACAATCCAGCTGGAGGTGGAACACAGCATTATTCCAAAGACTGAGGGATGGGAAAGGTTATTTTTTAAGCTAAGTTAAATTGAGCCCTAAGTTATTTTGTCATTTTAATATAGTATTAGTATTGGAGACGGACGGGAACACCATGGAGTGAAGACATGCTTCTCGAGGCTCCGCAAAAGCAGGGACAAAACATTTATTTTAAAGCACACCCCTATTTATAAATCAGCCTCGCATATGTATATAATGGTGCGCTCCTAATCCCTGGTTCATTTGACACCTTTTTTGGTTCGTAAGTCGTTTGCTTTAATAACTTTTCGTGACGGGCCGCGGTCGCCGCCTCGAACCTAGCCAGCGTGCACTAGCTACATAGCGCTCGACCCGGGCCCGTAACGGACTGGTTTGTCACTTTTGGGCTGATCCCTTATCCCCTGCACGGTGGCATTAGGACTGATATTACTGCGGGCACAACTTTAAAGTACTGCGACTCTTGTAAAATGGACAAGAGGGAGACTAAGGGACCTCGTCAGAGACGTACTGCCGCTGAGACGAGCTCCGGATCGGGCGCGCTCCGGAGGGATGAGACGCCGCTGGGGGGCGGCGACGAGCGTGGATCAGATGCACCGCTCAGTGAGGCAACATTCACCAAAGCACTGCAGGGTCTGAAGCAAGACATCTGTGATACCTTTGACTTGAGGATCGACTCTCTTACTCTCACATTAAGGTCAGAAATTACATCCGTAAAGGCTGAGCTTAATGCTAATATGAACTCCATCCACTCTCTTGTTGAAACTCAGGGAGCCACAATCAAAGAGCTTGAGGCCTCTGCTACCTCTTGCAGTGATGATTTGTCCTCCCTGCAGTCCTCTGTATCTGTTTTAACAGAGGAAGTTAAACATCTACAGGCTAAATGTGAGGATCTGGAGGGAAGGTCAAGGCGTAATAATATTCGTCTCATTGGGCTGGCTGAAGGACTGGAACTGCCCAGCCCTAGAGAATTCATCTCACAGCTTCTGCGTGACCTTTTGGGATTGGAGGATGTGCCGCTTCTGGACCGGGCTCACAGATCTAGCAGGGAAAAACCTAAAGAAGGAGCTCCACCTCGACCAATTATCATCAGAGTGCATTATTTTCATGTGAAGGAACTGATTCTGCGCCGGGCAGGAGCTGCTGTTCCTCTTCTCCATCAGGGCAGGAAAATTTTTATCTTTCCAGACTTTACGTCATCAGTGGCCAAAAAAACGCTCACAATTTGGGAATGCCAAACGTCTCCTACACTCGTGCCCTGGCATTAAGTTTGGTCTGTTCTATCCTGCTGAGTTAAGAATCACACTGCCAAATGGAGCTGTGCGCAAGTTTTCCGACCCCGAAGCTGCCACAGACTTTATTAAGAAACTGGGAGGGGGTGCTCCTTCTGACTAACAACTTTGACTTGGTTTGAGGCTGATGTTCGTTATTTCTGAGATATATTCGTGAAATGGTAACCTAACTGAAGGGGTTTTTTTTTTTATTTAATTTTTTTATTTTATTTTAATTTTTTATATATATATTTGATTCTAATCATTTACTTATCTTATTTACGATCTTTTATTTATCTTTGTCTAAAAAATTTTTTTTATTTTTTTATTTTATTGTATTTTATAAATATTACTATATTATGTTATTATTTATATTTTATTAAATCTCCCCCATTTTATTTTATTTTATTTTATTTTATTTTCTTATCCTTATTAGTGATTTATTTCCTATATATACTTTATTTGTTTATTTATATTTCTGTGGGTGTATAGGTGTGCAGATGTATATCTATTTATACACTTAATTAGATATAATAATTGATCCATTTATTTTTGTTCCTGCTTTGCACTGGTGGGAGCCTGAGTTCTACTGGATCCGTGGATGCTTGGGAAGAGGTATCTAGTAGTAGTTAGCAAAAGGGGGTATGCGCGCATCTTGTTTGGGAAGATGCTTCAGCAGTCAGGGGTAAGTTCTAACGTTCTTGTTTTGTCGTACTGTTTTTCACATGTCATTTGGTCTTTAAGTGCTATCAATGGGTCATTCTTTACACAGATTGATGGATGTCACAATCTAATTGTGATAATTTACTAAAGGGTCAGGTTCTCAAGTTTTGTAGCTGGAATTGTAAGGGTTTAAATCAACCCATTAAAAGGAGTAAAGTGCTCCATCACTTACAGCATTTGGGTGCTCAAATTGTTTTTTTACAAGAAACCCACTTGAAAATTTCAGATCATTCTAGACTCCGGAAGGGCTGGGTTGGCCAAATGTATCATTCAACTTTTCAAGGAAAATCTCGAGGTGCTGCTATTTTAATTCACAAATCAGTACCATTTGTGTCTACTAACACTATTACTGATCCTAATGGTAGATACATTATTGTTTGTGGGAGCATCTTTAATACAAAATTAGTTTTGGCTAATGTGTACGCACCGAATTGGGACGATTATAATTTTTTTAATTCCTTTTTCACCAAGATTCCAGATTTATCTTCACATTTGCTTATCTTGGCTGGCGATTTGAACTGTTGGCTGGGCCCTTTGGATCGGTCATCAAATAATGTTAACAGACAATCACATTCTTCCAAAGTTGTTAATAATTTTCTTAAAGAATTCTCAGTTATTGATGCCTGGCGCTTTCTTAACCCTACCCGTAAAGAATATACATTTTTCTCCCCAGTTCACCATACATACACTCGTATTGATTACATTCTTTTGGACAGCCGACTGATACCGCATATCCGGTCTTGTTCTCATAATGCCATTGTAATTTCAGACCATGCGCCTGTGACATTGGACCTGGTGTTGGGAGGTGGTTCTCCTTCGGTTGTTCCTTGGCGCTTGAACACACGTCTGTTGTCTGATGATAAGTTTGTTGCCTTTGTTAATTCAAAAATAGACTTCTTCATTGCCACAAATGATACTCCAGGTACATCTCCCTCTCTCTTGTGGGAGACTTTTAAGGCTTTTATACGAGGACAGATTATATCCTACAGTAGTTTCGAAACTAAACAGAGAAAGGCAAAGTTGTCAGAACTTACAACTCGAATTCTGCAGTTGGATGAACTATACGCAGCCTCCCCTTCACCCGAGGCATACAATGTTAGGTTGTCTTAACAAGCAGAGTTTGACCGATTGGCATCAGTACAAGTGGAGGAGATGCTTTTGAAGTCGCAGCACGCCCAATATGAATATGGTGACAAGGCCAGTAAATTACTTTCTCACCAACTTCGTAACGTGTCAGCAACACATTTCATCCCACAGATCCAAACTCATAATGGCATCACTTCGGATGCACTTTTTTTCTTAAATCCTCCCCCCCCCCTTTTTTTTATTTTTATTTTTATTTTTATTTA